ACATTTCTCCTTGTTCATGCATCCCTTTGTTCAGTGCTATTTCTTTAGTGAGTGCCTGATATGTCAGGTACCATGTGGAAACCCAGAGGCAAACAAGCAGGAAAGAGAGGTGTTATCTGGCAGATCTTACAGTCCAGGGCAAAGATGTCCTTCCCCATGTCCCATTTCCTCATCCCTTAGCTGGTTAATCTCTCTGCTCTTACACCTCCACATCCCTCTTCCTACTGCTGCCCATTAAGTCTGCTCTTCACCTCCAGGAAGTAGAGAGGAAGGCAGCCTCCTGAACCGGGTTCAGTTTGTGGCATCCAGTGTACTACTTGCAATAGAAAACCTCTCACCTCTTCACACGTGTTCCTGTAACCCAGCATCCTGTCACCTAGAAAGAAGGTCCCTACCCCTGTCTGCCTCCTCCACTTGCTCACTGACATTCTTGACTCAGGTATCATTTTCAGCCAAGTAAATGGCAGGAACTAAGCCAAGCACAGTTAGCTACCCTGCCCCACTGAGACTCCACTCTGCCATACTGACCCATCTTCAAAGAGAGGTTGGTCTCTCTTCCTTAACAGTGCCCATGTCAGCCGGGCGTTGGTGACGCACACCTTTAATCCCAGCATTCGGGAGCCAGAGGCAGGCGGATCTCTGTGAGTTCGATGCCAGCCTGGTCTCCAGAGCGAGTGCCAGGATAGGCTCCAAAGCTACACAGAGAAACCCTGTCTCGAAAAACCAGCCAACCAAACAAAAAACAGTGCCCATGTCAGCTAGGCCGTGGTGGTGTATGCCTTTAATCCCAGCATCGAGAGGCAGAGGCAGGCGGATCTTTGTGAGTTCAAGGCCAGCCTGGTCTACATAGAGAAACCCTGTCTTGAAAAAACCAAACCAAAACAAAACAAAACAAAAGTGTCCATGTTGATGGAGGGGGCAGCCATCTCCTACTGAGCATCATGGCCACTCTTAGTTCTCTCATGGTGCCCAAAAGAAAGGATCGAGAAATGTTTCTGGGGTTGGGGCTGGGGCTGGAGACCTGGCTTAGTGGTTAAGTGCACTGGCTGTTCTTCCAGAGGACCTAAGTTCAATTCCCAGCACTGCATGGCAGCTCACAACTGTCTGTAACTCCATTCTGGGGGATCTGCTCCTTCACAGGGACATATCTGCAGGCAAAATACCAATGTACATAAAATAATAATAAATAATTTTTAAAAAGAAATGTTTTAGGCTGGATGGTGGTGGAGCACATCTTTAATCCCAGCACTGGGGAGGCAGAGGCAGTTGGATCTCTTAAGTTCAAGGCCAGCCTGGTCTACAGAGTGAGTTTAGGACAGCTAGAGCTACACAGAGAAACCCCTGTCTTGAAGGAAAAAAAAAAAAAAAAAAGGAGAGGAGAGGCGAGGAGGAGGAAGTGGTGGTGGTGGTGTTTCTGGCACAAGCATGATCAGTAATTCAAATGTAAGCCCAATTCTTGGAGTCCCGGAGGTACTGACAACAGACTGAAGAAAAGATTCAAGGACCAGATTTCCATATTGCTTCTGTGAGCAACAAACAGATAAGCTCACACTCCTAGTGACTTCCCCCCTGAGCAGGTGACAGGCACACATACCAGATCCATAAAGTCCAAAGTGCTGCTCTTGGGCCACAAATTCTTCTATGCAAAGTCTGCCCAAGGTGTTTCCTCCTAGAATAGAAAAGCCCTCCTGAAAAGAACAGCAAATTCCTGTAGTAGATAAGAACTGGGAGGAAAAGGGTGGGTGGGGGGATGCTGGCCAGGATGTAAAATAAATAATATATATATAGGTCAGCAGTCCCAGAAGCTTGCTGAATGGCAGGGTGGGTGTGGGGTTAACACACACAGCTTGTGTGCATTTAAAAAAAAGTTACTTGTACTTAAATTAAACCTGAAACTAAACAATGAAAGGAAGCTAAGATTCTAATCAAGAATGGCTAGAGCGATGGTTCAATGGTTAGGAGTGTTTGTGGCTTGGGGGCTGGAGAGATAGCCCAGTGGTTAAGAGCACTGGCTGCCCTTCCAGAGGACCCCGGTTCAATTCCCAGCACCCAATTGCAGCTACAGTTCCAGAGGATACCAATGCATATAAAATAACGTGAAATAAATCTTTTTTTTTTTTTTAAAGTGCTTGTGGCTTTTCTAGAAGACCTGGCTTTGGTTCTCAGCACCCCAGGGCTCACAGCTGCTGTAACTCCAGTGCACAGGCACCTGTGCTCACATGCAGACATACCTACACACAGACATAATTAAAAAGAAAATAAGTCTTTAAAAGAGCCTCTGACAGAAAGCTGGAGCCAGTTCTGAGGTGGGGACAGGGTATGTAGTTTTGTTTTGTATATAGTCTAGGTGAGGGATCCTTTTCCTAACATTCCAGAGAGCTGCTGGCAGGATCCACTTGGAGCCTCTGGGAAGCAGTCTGCCTCAGGAGCATGCTGTTGGGGGGAAATGCAAAGATGGTAACTTGTAGAATTAGCAGTTGTGATGATGATTGACCATGTTTTCAGTATACTAAAACACTGATTTATATATTTGTAATGGGCTGATTTTACAGTATTTTAATTATATCTCAATATAATGACTAATAAAGATACAAATCAACTGACTATCAGCATGAGCCGTAGGATCCTGGTTAATGATAGAAGCATGGTTTCCTGGGGAGGACGCTCAGCCCAGTGCTCTCCTGAAGTCATTTGCTTTTGACCCAGAGCAGCAGGCACAGACAGGTCTCTCTCTTCTTTCCTCCTGAGATGGCCCTTCCTCCCTCGGTGTTCCTGGTGGAGCAACTTCTGCCTCTGTAGTGGATATCCACTAACGCCAGACCTTGTCTCTCCTCCCTCCTGTCCAGATGTCTGAAGTGCTCACTCAGTGCCTTTCCCTCTCCCTCTCCCTCTCCCTCTCCCTCTCCCTCTCTGAGCGCCCCCCTGTGGCCCCTTGCAGAATTGCTGCTTCCCACTCTGGCCTCAATTTTTTCCCAGCTGGTAGTGGAGGCAGCTTTCCTTCTCCCCATGAGATGCATAAGAAACAGTTAAAGCTCTAGCATAGCTGGGCAGTGGTGGCGCACGACTTTAATCCCAGCACTCGGGAGGCAGAGGCAGGTGGATCTCTGTGAGTTCGAGACCAGCCTGGTCTACAAGAGCTAGTTCCAGGACAGGCTCCAAAGCCATAGAGAAACCCTGTCTCAAAAAACGAAAAAAATAAAAAATAAAGCTCTAGCATATATATGGGAAAGAATATAAAATGAGGGCTGGAGAGATAGCTCAGCAGTTAAGGGCACTGACTGCTCTCCCAGAGGTCCTGAGTTCAATTCCCAGCAACCACATGGTGGCTCACAACCATCCATAGTGAGATCTGGTGACCTCTTCTGGTGTGCAAGCATGCATGCAGGCAGAATTCTATATACATAATAAATAAATCTTTAAAATAAAAAGAATATAAAATGAGCTTCAGAAGCTAATGTATAAGCTGCTGAATCTCGTATGCTTTTTATTATTTTTAGAAAGGGTCTCTCTGAATAGCTCTGGCTGCCTTTGAACTGGTGCTGGCCTTGAACTCACAGAGCTCTTCCTGCCGCCTCTTCAGTGCTGGGTATAAAGCATGCACTGGGCTTCTTCCTTCTTTTAAAAGAAGCAATGTGACCTAATGGAAGCACTTGGCCTTTGGTGTCATACAATCTCACAAGTTATATATGTATTTTCCTAAGTTGACTCCTTTGGGATCAAAGCCCCCTCAGATATACAAGGAAGTAACAAGTCAACCTCTTATGGTGCTATGGGGTAAGATTTGATGAAGGTAGCTATGGGGTAAGATTTAATGAAGGTAGCTAAATACTATCTGTAGTGCCCAGCATGGATGAGGGCGTTCAGTAAACTGTACCTGTGTCTACTATTGTTATCATAGCTATCTAGGAACCCTTCTCTATCTTCAGGAATATAACCCTAACCCTAACCTCCTCCTCTAACCCTACGCCTAACCCTGCTTTGCACAATTCTAAGGCAAGGGTACTACTCAAACGGTATTCGTCATAAGGTCCCTTCTCTAGAGTAAATAACACTGACTCTCAAGCTGGTCTACTTGCCAGTTTGGAGACCCTCTGATTCAAGGAAGTAGAGATTTAGAAAAAGCAAAACTGAACAATTTAAAATGGAAAAAAAAAAGGAAGAAGAAAGAAAGAAAGATAAAGCCAGAAGGGCCCTGTCAGAAACAGATTGGAGGCCCAGCTCCACTCCAGTAGAGTAGTTTGGCCCTCTGCCTGGTACACGGCTGGAGCCCAGCAAGTGCTAACTTCCTTCTCTTCCTGTCCCCCTTCAGCTACATCCATGAGCAGAGTATGAACATGGCCTTGGTGTGATCTCTTTACCAGTCAAATGGTTTCCCCTGAGGGTGCCCAGCAGGAAGAGCGGAGACAGGCACTTGCAGTGGTCTCCACAGCATCACTGGCTGATGTGTGGCCTCTGACCATCCAGAGTGAAGAATTGCCCACTCTCTCTGCCCTCAGTCTACCTTCCGTGTCATGTCCCAGAGTAGAGGTGCCTGTCGCTGCTCTGGCCATTTGGTAGCTTGTTAAACCTCAGCACCACTTGCCAAGACCCCTTTAAATCTCTTGGCTGTTCTTTTTTGCCTTTTCTGACGAGAGCAGTATTTATTCAGAACTAAATGGTCCTCACTAGAGGATGAAAGGACTTACTGCTTAAGTATATGAAAAGAAGTCTTGGCTGCAATACAATTGCACCCTCTCTCCACTGCCTCCACCCCACTTTGCCCATGCTCCATTGACTGGTGCCACTGAGACTGACCTGGGCGCCTGCCCTTGGAGCAGTGTGCTCAGTTCAGTTGAGTTGATGGAGAAGTGAGGTGACCATAGGAGGAGCTTGCTTTTGGGACCTAGAAACAACTTGTTTGTGCATAGTTTTTGTCTCTGTCAGTTTGGCTTTTTCTCTCCTTAAAGGCATACACATGTGACATACTCTGTCACTCAGATTCTCTCCCTCTTTCCCCTCAGGATCGTGCTCATGGATGATGCCATGGACTGCTTGATGTCTTTTTCAGATTTCCTTTTTGCCTTCCAGATCCAGTTTTATTATTCAGGTGAGAATGTTCCAGGACCCATGTGGCTTTTGTCATGTCTCCCTTTCTCACCCAGTTGTCTTTTCCATCTGTGTGCCTGGCACACACATTTCCCTTCCCCACTTCCTTTAGGGGTATACTTTATCACAACCCACTAACAGGATGTCTGATTTGTACTGGTGGTTACAACTTCCTCAGCCTCATGAAGACATGGAAATCTTTTTTTATTCCAGTCAGCAGCACAGAAAAACAAACAAACTAACAACAACAACAACAACAAAAAATCCTTTAAGTGATAACAGCAGTTAGGATATCAATAGCATTCATTTATTAAAAACTTGCTGCCTCCCGGGTGCCACACAAAGGACTTTAATCTGTTTACTAGCCCTAAGAGATAAGCTCACAGAGCTCAGACCTGTGCTTTTAGCCACTCCCTTAGCCCTTGACCATGTGTGTTTACCATACTGATAGCTTTTAATAAGCACACACTATCCAGAAACAGTGGTACATGACTGTAGTCCAAGCTACTAAAGAGACAGAAGCACAAGGGGCACTTCAGTCTAGGAGAGCAAGGCTACCATGGCAACAAGAGACCTCTATCTCTAAAAGAACAAGAATCTCTTCACACACACACACACACACACACACACACACACACACACAGTCTCTGTGTCACTTCCACTCTGCTCCCTTTAAGCCCCTTCTGACTTTAAATGAAATAAAAATAAATGTATACAACTCATACACCAAATTAGTTTGGGGTTTAGAAATCGCTGCATGCAGGGCTAGAGAGATGTCTGGTTTAGGGGCACTAACTGCCCTTCCAAGGAACCAGGGTTCAATTCCCAGTACCCACATGACAGCTTACAATGTCTGTAACTTCACATCTGGGGACACACACCCTCACACAGACATACATGCAAGCAAACATCAATGCACATGAAAGAAAGAAAGAAAGAAAGAAAGAAAGAAAGAAAGAAAGAAAGAAAGGAAAGGAAAGAAATAGAGAAAAAGAGAGAGAGAAAGAAATTGCTGCATCCATAAAGAAACTTGCCTAACGGGGTGCTGTTCCAGGAACTAGAAAGCTGCCTTTGGAACTAAAAATAGCCTTCTTGCCAACCAATGCCCTGGTCAGCTTTGGCCTCACTTAGGTGCCACATTCTGTTTGCTTGATTGCAGCCCAAGGGCGGTTCAGGCGGGAGCTGGAACCTAGGGTCAAGCCACCTGCTCCTAGCAGGGTTAGCATCTTATGACTCACTTCTCTGAGGGACCTTGGTGAAGGAGCAGCCGTGAAACAATTTCAAATGATTACTAAATTAGCAGTTTGCAGGGTCCTCTCTCCCTCAATGGTATTTATTTTTCATTTATTTATGTATTTATTTATGTATTTATTTATTTATTTATTTTGGTTTCTCTGTGGCTTTGGAGGCTGTCCTGGAACTAGCTCTTGTAGACGAGGCTGGTTCAGAGATCCACCTGCCTCTGCCTTCCGATTTCTGGGATTAAAGGCCAGTGCCATCACTGCCCGGTTATTTTTCCTTTCTTTTTCAAGGTATTTTAAGTACACTAAAAGAGACCCAGTTTGGGCAGTAACAAAGATACTTCCTGCAGTCTCCAACATGCTTTCTTAAAGCAGATGGCTTGTGAAATGGGGCTAACAAGTGAGAATGTACTTAAAAAAAATACATACATACACACACACAAAACAAAACAAAACAAAAAAACCAGCTGGGCAGTGGTGGCACACACCTTTAATTCAGACAGAGGCAGAGGCAGGTGGATCTCTGAGTTCAAGGCCAGCCTGGTCTACAGGAGCAGTTCCAGGACAGCTAGAAACCCTGTCTCGAAAAACCAAAGTAAGTAAATGAATAAAACCATTCTTAGAGTATTTAGCATGTACCAGGCACTGGGACAGGAGATGTCAGTAGAGTATGACCCCTTCATTGTTCAAGACTCTACTGTTCCAGCAAGGGAACCGATAATTACATAGCAAACTTACCATTGGGTAAATGATTCAAAAAAGATAGGGCGCTCTGTAAGTAAGCAGTGGGGGCCCCATCTAGTCCAGGAACTGCCCAGGTGAAGTGCACGAGAGTGCCGTGCCTCATGAGGCCACAGGCAGTCACTCCTGGTATTTTGGCATCGAGGTTGGACTGCTGAGAAGGGGTTGTGGTGAAAAGATGAAATATGACCTCCTTACCTAAACTGTCCCTTCCTGCCCCTATGGTACCAGAATTTCTGGACAGTGTGGCTGCCATCTATCAGGATTTGCTGTCAGGGAAGAACCCCAATACCGTGATTGTGCCAACATCCTCGAGTGGGCAGCATCGTCAACGACCGGCCTTGGGTGACGCCGGTGTGCTGGATGGAGTGGAGGCAGCGCTGTTCTATCAGCGCCTGGAAAACCTGTGTGACCGCCACAAATACAGGTGGGACATGGGAAGAGGCCCCACCTCAGCTCTGGGGATCAGGCTGCTGGTCTGGGAACAAGTCTCAAGCAACATATTTTGATCGGTTCAGGGTTTCCAGGGCCCAGGATGGTTGTGATTTGAAGACATGGCTCACAAAGCAGGTGGCTCACTTACAAAGGAGCACTGTCCCCCAGGAAAAACTAGTTATAGGTGACTTGCTTACTAGGGGAAGATGAGCCTTGGCTTCTTGAAAAGGAAATAACTCAGTTTTTACAAACCTTCCCATGGAAAGGGGAGGTTAAACTTAGGGATATAGCCTACAGGCAAGGAGCTGTCACTAGTAGCTATGTCTCTTCCCCTCACTTCTGGATTCCCTGTAAAAGTGTTGGGACTGGGGCAGAGTGCATACCTAGCATGTTCCATCTCTAACACTACCAACTAAGTAGCACTAAGCACACCAGCCCGTGTTGTCTGCAGTCTGGGCCCTGTTCCTGTCATGTATCATTTCCCAGCTTTGAGTGTCTTGGAAGTGTGGGTGAAAAGGTGGCGTATAGGCTTCATTCCAGCCTCTCCACTTCCCTTCCAGCTGCCCGCCCCCGGCCCTTGTCAGAGAGATCCTGAGCAATGTCCAGAGGCTGACTTTCTATGGGTTCCTTGTAGCCCTTTCAAAGCATCATGGAATCAACCAAGCACTGGGTAAGCAGAGCTCACATGGCCTCTGTGCTCCTCCCAACCTGGGGCCTACAGGGGTAGGAGGGCACTCTGATTCTTGGGCCACCTTCTGCCCTGCCCCAACATGAATGAGCCTCTGCTCTGCTCTCTGGATAGCCCTGCCCAGCCCCTCCCTAGAGAATCTCAGCTCTGTTCTAGGGAGTGGCCTGCAGATTGGGCAGATGCAGGGCTATTTACCCAGTGGCTCTGGAGATTATATATCAAAGTGACCTGAATCCCATTTAGAAACAGGGCAAAGGTGTGTCTGGGAAGTGTTTTTTCCCAGGTGGGAAAAAAAAAAAGAAATCTGATAAATGTGAAAAGAGAAAAAAAAAAAAAAAAAAAAAAAAAAAAAAAAAAAAAA